CTTTCGTACCACAATACATCATGCCCGCTTTTTCTGATCATACATTTCAGTCGCACTGGTCTCCTACGGTAGGTTGATGCTAATGAAATCTTTACAGCAAGTGTTGGCGTTAGTTACCTCTTTCTCAGAAAACTAAACGTTGTGATTCCCTCTCATTAAAAGCAGATTAGAGAGCTGCAGCATGCCATCCAAGAAACTACTCGCAGACTGGCCGAAGTCAGGCTAAAAAGACTGCGTGCTGAAGAAGAGATAAATCAATGGTAACGTTACCGGTATTGTAGTCCGAGTATTTAGCGTTGGTTTGGTTAACTCGAGGTGTATTGAAAATTCGGGAAAAACACGATTTTGTCTCCACCTGTGTCCTCTCTGTGACGTTTTTGCATAAGTCACTCGGTGGTTATTGGTATGGGTACAAAGTCATTGTTCAAGTTTTAAATAACAAACACAGAAAAGCACACTATTCACTCTAGCTTTCATGTTCAGCTTTTTGTCATATTTGGCCCCCTAGATGTTTCATGTCCTTCAGAAAAAAAATCTAAAATAGTATACATTTAAACAGATGCCATCTGTGAGAGGAAGTACTTTGCGTGACAGCACTGAAGTTATAAAATAAAACAAATGTAGGCTACATTGAAGCATTCTTTGGACAAAGTTTAGGAGCAGCCAGTAAGAGGAGTAGTGGCATTTGCTCAAGGCTACCACTATCGGCTGTCAAAAAGGGGAGGTTGTACAAATCACAACTATTCTTAAGAAAAACACGTTGAGACTCTTAACTTTGTAAGTTGTTATCAACAAGTCAAGATGAGTTGCAGGTCTTTAAACTTGATTTTTACATTTGTTAATCGAGTGTGATAGAAGTGAGTCGCCTGCTCTGCCTCTCTAATATGCAGCATGCTTACCCAATGTAAAGACAGCCACATGTCAAATATACCTTTTTTTTTCACAACAGACATTTTTACATAACATGGCAGAGAAATAGTCAGAATGACCTCCACGAGAAGGAAGTGTTGCTTCATGCTTCCAGGAACGGACCATAGATCCTTTTTACATGATCAACCTCAGTTAGTGTCCTGACCTGTTACCCAACAGTTTCTAGCTTCACTTAAGGTTGACCAAATAATACATTATAGACTATTATATCATACAGTTATGACTTTGTTTAATTTCTATTTGTCTTATGATTCCTGTTCTTATTTGCAGTACGGTAGAAACTGTGCGGAGAATGGATCTGATGATGGAAAAAGGTAAAGTTGTGAGTAAGTTGGTGGCACTGGGTCATCTGCTGCAAGAGGAAAAGCACCTTTCTGAAGAACTGAATGGAGAAGCCTCTGTGGACAGGTTAATATGCTGTGCTATGGGCGTAGAGAGAGAGAGTGTAATCTTTGCATAAACCAAACTTGTTGTCCTATCCAGAATGATTTCACTATATTTATTGTCTTTCAGCAACGAAAGGAATGATTTGCAGGAAAGGAGTGAGCACATCACAAACAAAGCGAGAAGCCTTGCTGCTGAAATTCGGGAGGTGGAAAAGCATCTGGCAGAGACAAAGGCTCGTAATATGGCTGGTAAGGGGAGCTTGGAGCTTAACTTGGATTTGAAATGCAGTATTTTGTAATCTGCTGTCTTTCTTTGCCAACAGCACGAGCTTTGATCCAAGCATCAACTAACAAATCAAAGAGAAATCGACGCAAACCGAGTGAATCAAAAATGTAACATTTGTTTTAAAGATTACAGGCATGTTTGTTTTTTTTTATTTTTCAATGCATTTGATATTCATAATAAATTGTGTACATTTTTTGTTTCACTTAATAAAATGTTTGACTTGATCTTCTCCCAGGAGCACTTGTATTTAATAACCCAGCAGGATGGCTCTCTGGATATGCATATTTGGTTTGTTAAAAACAAAAAGCAAGTGGTGGTACGCAACTGTCACAGTGGCTGTCAACCCAAATAAATGCATGATAGTAAGGGGCTTAAATACTGTGAAATATCCTTCATCTAAAAGGATAATTGGGTCACTGATGCACCTGTTTTTGTTTGTCTGTCTAACATTAGTGTTAAAATCTACTTGTGTCTTGTCTTGATTAGTTGATTCATTGCAGACACAAACAGTATATTTTTGTTTAAATAGACTTGTACAAACAGTCCTGTGCATAGATATAAACTTCTATTGATGACTCTTTTCTCACTGTGCATACAACTGATTATTGCTTATAAGAAACAACCACCTTCCCGTTTATAGCCTTCCTATTTAACAGGACAGAACTCGTGCAATAAATAAAAGGTCTATGGCCACCGAGTAAAGGTAGCAGTACCACAGCATAAAAATACTGCTACAAGTTGACGTCCTGCATTGAAACAATAACTAAACGTACAAAGGTATTGGCTTCAAATTATACTTAAAGTAAAGCAGGCTTTGTGCAGAATTGCCCATTTCAGAATTACTGGAATGTAATTAGTGATGCATTGTGTGTACAAAGTGGGGGTAAATTACTTAACTACTGAGTACCTTAACCTATAATAAATAAAATGTATTGGTTCATTTGTGTATTAATAATCAAAATCTGTAGAGTAACTATAACTAAAGTGGTCAAATAAATGTAATGGAGTATTAACATCTGCTTCAAAATGTAGAGGAGTAATGGAAATACTCGCGTAAAGTACAAGCTCGGTAAAACGGTAGCTTTCTTACAAAGTAAATGTACTTGGTTACTTTCCGCCGCTGCAGCCCATAGACTGCCTTCTCGTTGACGCTTTATTGTCACTTCCGGGCTTCCGTAGGTTTGTTATGGCGAAGCGAGGCAACACAACATTAGCACTACGTTTCGAAACACATTTTTATGGTAAGGTGTTTGCTATTTTTAAGTTGCTAATTGTAACTTACAGTAGCTGTAATATACTAAATTACCTTTTAGAAAAAGGTAGACTGCACACTTTTGTAAAGAAGATAATGGTTATTAGTCACTACTAACTTACATGTGGCGTTCAAAGAGCATATTAATGTTACATCAGCTGAGATAACGTTAGCTTTCACAATAGGGTAAAAATGGGTTATAAGCTGTGGCCATCTCATGACAACAATGTTGTAAGAGCTAGACTAAGCTGTTAACTGCAGACTAGTAGCTAATTATTGTGGCAATATACGAAACGTATTGTTTTGGATAACTCCGATCACAACAGTAGGTAGGTTTCTCTACTTGTTATGTCTTAACTTGACAGGTCGATGAGGTCCAGAACATGACGACTGGTGCCGAGTACCGCTCCATCTTTCTTCTGTCCCCAAATGACGAGGCTCTGAGCGGACTGAGAGAAGTGAAGTCCATCCTGAGGCAGGCTGTAAACACTCACCCAGCCTCAGACGGTGCGTGTATGAATTGTCGCTTTTGGTTTCTGTAAAGACGGTAATTTTCTGTCTATTTGAAGCTGATCTCAATTGCCTTCCTCACAGAGTTGGAAGACAAATCCCCAGAAGATGACAGACAGCTGGAGTCCAGCCTGGTCAGAGAGGTGTCGGACAAGATGGTCTGCTCAGCCTGCAAATGCCCCTTTATCAGTCGAGAGGAACAGGTGACGACACAACAAACTTTGCTCCATTAAGACTGTACATGAGCATGGGTCGTCATTTAAATACAACATTGTCTTTCATGTTTCAGATGGAGCACTACAAGCTTGACTGGCATCGCTTCAACTTGAGACTAAAGATTTCGGCGATGCCACCAGTCACAGCTGAGGAATTTGAAAGGAAGACTGGAGCTGGTGAGGAAACCGGAGTCCTACGTCGAAACGAGAGCGACCGTATAGTTTGTAACACGTGTTCTTGCTTTACAGGAGACATGTCGAGCATCTCGGGCTCCGAGTCGGATTCAGAGGAAGAAGACTCGGATAGCGAGAGCGGAGGAACAAGCAGCAATGTCACCGGCACCGATAACGAGAGCTCAGTTGAAACCAGTTTATTTACCGGCCGGCATCCCAACAAGGTGTTTTTCCAGAACTCGGCCGGACAATATCTGACAGTGTACCGCTGCATTCTACGGGGACAGGTGAGGCTCAGCAGGTACAGTACGGTACGGTGTGTGAGATGTGTATGTTAACAGACGTTTTATTTATTTCAGTCAGGTGATGAGGAAGAAGTGGGATCCTTCCTGAGAGTCATGAGTGTGAACACTGTGTGGGTCATTCTCATGACGGGTGGAGGCCACTTTGCTGGCGCTGTGTTCCATGGGTGAGTGTGAGGGAACCGTGTTTTTTTTGTTTGTTTGCTTTCAGGACCTTAGATTACACGTTATGGCTGGAATTATAAGTGGTAAAAGAAAAGAAGAGTTATCACTAACAAGAAAACCTGGTCAATAACTAACTAACTTTTGGAGTGAAAGTGTATATACAGTTGTGTCAGTGTACTAATAGGTTGTGAGTGGTCTAACTAACACAATGTGTTGCATTACAGAAAAGAAATCATTCAGCACAAGACCTTCCACCGATACACGGTGCGAGCGAAGCGCGGCACCGCGCAAGGAATCAGAGACTCTCAGAACCGCAGTCACGCGCCGAAGTCTGCAGGAGCTGCTCTGAGGCGATACAATGAGGGGGCGCTAGTCAAGGTTAGTTGATTTAACAGCCGCTGTCATTTCTTCCTTCACAATGATAGTTTACTTTTGCTTTCTGCTGACTTCCATTATTTTTTCTCTAGTACCAAATAAGTTTCTGTTCGTGTATCCATCCTCCTTTTGACAGAGGTCATTTTGTTTACTTATGCGAGTGTACCTAGGTGCTGCTTATTCACAAAAACAGTTTGCTCTCTGTGTAAAGGTTACTTATTCCAAAAGGAATATTGGATTGTCAGAAGACGACTACCAAAAATGTCCAGCAACAATTTTCTCATTTAACACATATTGCTCATTTTATGACCGTTCAACACTTTAATTAAATTTAGAAAATGAACCTATGTAACATGTTGTGATGTAATCCATTCTTAGGAGTTTTCTTTTCTGCAGCGTAGTCCACAACTCAATTATAAGGTGAGGTAGCAATTTCTTCATGTGCACGCACAAACACTTGTGTAACATTTTGCAGGACATCCAGGATCTTCTGGTCAGCTGGGCTGAACACTTGACGGAAGCCTCTGCGATATTTGTACGAGCTCCCAGCTACAATAAGAGCATCTTTTTTGGTGGCCGTGCAGCTCCGTTTGAGAAAAAAGACCCCAGGATCCACACGCTCCCCTTTCCCACTCGCAGGGCGACCTTTCGGGAGGCAAAGAGGGCTCATGAGGTGCTTTCCACCGTCCGTGTTTATGGTAAGCTGAATTATACATCCATGGAATGATGACATGTTATCTGCTCATTGTCGTACAGCTAGTGTATAATCAATACGGTGTGCAAAATATCTCGCTGCAGGGAAAGACACGGACATGTCTGCAGTCTTTGCTCCATCTAAGAAGGCCTGGAAAAAAAGTATCAAACCCACAGCACAGATAAATAGAGATGAAGAGAAAGGTGAGCTGAAGAGGTGGACATGCACAGTGTGTACACTATGGGCTTACATTCTATTGAGCTCAATGTGGGTCAAATATTGACTGTGAATTCTTTGTTTTTGGCATCAGCAGATGAAAACCACGATAGCTCTGGTGAAGAAGAGGGTGGAGACATCCAGATGGAGATGGTGGAGCTGACAATAGGAACTCTGGACCTCAGGGAGTTTGAAATCTATCCCTCCAGGCACAGGAGAAGACATAGGAGAAAGAGGGAGGAATCCAAACTGCAGAATGAGGGTAGGTCTGGTCCACATAGGTGTTGCCACGTAGGAGGCTAATATAGCTACATTACAGAACCCCAAGATATGCTTATTTATCACATAAAGGTTCTGCAAGATTTATGAAATTTTACATCCATGTGTGACACAGAATTGAGTCACACAGAAGCAGACAATCAAGAAGAAGTGCTAGAGGCTGCACCAGCAGAAGATGCCCCTCAAGAGACCCAATCAAAGCACAAGAGGAAGAGGAAAGCACAGAGCCAGAAGCAACTAGAAGGTGAGCAAGTGCTTCTTTCTCACTATTCATCATGTTGCACCTGTTACTCAATCTTGCCACTTGTTTAAGATACTTATTATTTCGCTTTCTGTGTCTATAGAAAGTGTTGATGAGTCGTCAGAGTATGGCCTGAGGGATGAAGTGTTCACAGCCTGTAAGGTTGGGGATGTGGACTTTCTACGTGGGCTCCTTCAGCCACCTGGAGAAACGGCACAGAGTGGAGACTCTTCTGATGTGCCAAGTCCTCTAACGCTCCTCAATCAGCCCATAGACTCGTCGGGGTTCACTTTGCTGCATGTTGCCTCAGCTGCTGCACAGAAGGCCGTGATCAGGCTGCTCCTGGATGCAGGAGCTGACCCAGCCTGCAGGTATAGAAATTATATTTTCAAGCGTGGTAAAGGTTGATATTTCAGTGTGACAATCTGCAGCAATTGCAGTGATTCTATACCCGGTCTTAAACGTTACTTCTGAAATCTTCCTTTACAGGGGTAACAAAGGGCAGACCCCATATATTGTCTGCCCTGACAAAGACACAAGGAATGTCTTTCGTAAATACATGGCCGAGAATCCGGACAAATATGACTACGTCAAGGCCCAGGTAAGAATGTGCAGTCTAACTCTTACACGTATGTCTTTAAATACAAGCGGAGCACTCGTTCTTTACACCTGTGCACCTCTAGGTCCCTGGGCCCCTAACGGCAGAGATTGAATCCAAAAAGACGGAGAAGAAAAAGGCACAAAAGGCAGTGAAAAAACAGCGAGAGAAAGAGCAGAGGGAGGAACAGAGGAAACAAGAGTCGGAGGCAGAGGAAAAGAAGAAGTTTGCATCTCTGACTGATCGTGAAAAGGTGAGTTAAGGTGTATTTAATCTCTGATATTCAGGTTATGTTTTTTTTTTGTTTTTAAATGTTAACCGTTTTCTTTTTTTTGTTAAAGAGAGCTCTGGCAGCAGAGCGGAGGTTAGCAGTGCAAGTAGCTGCAGCAGGAGATGGCCTATCTAATGTCAAGTAAGTCCCAAAGAGCCGTCCTCTCATTGAGTTTAGTCATAATGTAACGTAGGACTTTGCACTAGGAAATAATGTAAAAAAAATAATACAATGTGCTCTTTGTGTGTCTTTGTCTCCAGGAGGTGCTGGTCGTGTGGAGAGTCTCTGCTCGGGAAGATCCCATTTCAGTACCTGGATTATTCGTTCTGCTCCCCTCCCTGTGTCCAAGCACATCGAAAAGCCCACGCTCTTCCAGGCAACACCTAACACGTTTAACAAAAGAAAATGCAAATTGGGGAAAAAACAAATCTTATTTAAAGAAGAGAAGGAAAAAAAACAACCAAGTGGCAAGTTTCTGTCTTCCCTTTTCCCGATTAAGATTTCAGAATTTTTGATAAACAACTAAGAATGATGAAAGAAATGAAAATCATCTTTGGCTGGAAGGAAGTGCCCTCATTAAAGCTAAAGTGAGATTTGGCAGCCTTGATAGAGATCTAATATGTGTCTTGCCAATGTGCTAGTTTAATTTTCAACTCAAAACATGGATTTGAGATAAAAAAGATTATCACGTCAGATGATCTCAAGACAACTCGGGGAATAAACCATATTAAACATGATAAATGTATAATTTATTCACAGTATCAGCAACTATGGAAATGTAAATAAGCATACAAAAAACAAAACTGTAATACTGTTATGTCATTGTCATTTTTTCCACAGTGAATGTTGAACATTAAAGACAAAATCCTCTTTGCATCACTGTTTGACTGATTGGCTGCTGTTTTAAAGCAGTGGACATTGGATTGCTATGATTATGAATTCAGTCAAACTTGCTTCATTCAGATGGTGGTATGTAGCATTCCTTCAGCTGCATGTTGCGCTCCATTAAGACTTTTCAGCAATGACATTAAGCTGAGGCCGGTCCATGAAAAGAGCCCGTAGGTGTGCTGGGGCCCTCTCCAGCTCGAGCACTGTGATGTTGTTGGGTAGGGTGGTGCTGAGCAGGGGTCCAGGGATATAAAGAGTCTGTTGAGGGCCCCTTGCTGGCCAGTATCGTCCCAGATTCACACCATTAATCCAAACCTGACCCTGATATAAAAAAGGACAAAATTATTTTTTTGCCTGGAATCATGAGGTAAACCCACAAGGAATAAACACCCACCACCCAAAAAAAATTCCACATTACCTTTGTCCATTCACTGAGCTTGAGAAAGGTATCCCAGGCCAGGCCGTTGGGCTGTAAGGTCCCCATGTACAAGACTGGTCCGACTGATGTGTCCGTTTGAGGGACGGGGAAGGACTTTTGACTGTCTGAATGAGGCCATCCTCCAGCGATGGCTCCATCAATGTCCAGAGGGTAGATGTTCCAGTCAGTCAGTACATCTCGACCCAGGATCAAGTTGCTCAAGAGGCCCTGAAGTACATGCATTCTGTTTAATAGCGTATACTTTGTGTAGGTAGGTCAAGCTAAACACAGTAACCATCAATAATAGGAATAGTCTTCATTTGTCATAACTGTTTTAGGGTCTGTGGTTTGTCAGGAATGTCCCTGATAAAATTGTTTGTGTACACCCCATCATATAAAACTTAATTTAAGATTGATTTAGCTGTAATTGGATTCAGACACAGAGTATTGAGGTTTGCAGAACCCTAAACAATGGGGTGTTAAAGAAGTGATGGTTTGTGCAGACAAGAATGCAGTTTACTGTCTACAGGACTTTGTTCTCTTGCCTTGTGTTCATTGATCTTGCTGCCAAAGTTCACCCTGCCCATGTTCTCAACGAGGATGTCCAAAGTGTCCCCCTGCTGTCCAGTTACGTTCATCACCAGCACAGTGTCTCTCTCCAACAGACCCTGGAAAACCTGTTCACACAGACACACACACTCAATGAGCGTGGACATTAAAAACACACCTGACATTTTAGAAACAATCATGGCTGTTTTCAACCTGTGATGTTTTCCCTATACCTGACCTGACAGATCTGATTGGCCAGACAACAAAAGTTCATTGTGAAGGCTTACCCCATTGACGGACACATATGCACGGTCATGAACCCCATTCAGCGGAGAGATAAGTGGCGTAGGCTCTGAGAGGTCCCGGGGCAACGTGGTCCGATAAAGCATGTATCCATAGTACTGAACACAATAGACATGACAGGTTGCAGACACAACAGTCTAGAAGTTCTCCACGTTTCAAGAGGTTTACTGCCACTACAACACTAGTCCCCTCCCCTGTTGTTTGCCCTTTGGACAGACACACTATACCTGTTTCATCTCTTCAAACGTCAGAGGATACTGCGATTTCACTGGCCCGAGGGGTGAGAGCGTGTTCAACAGGCCGCTGACGTTGCCAACCTGAAAAAAGTGTCTATTATTGGCATCAGTCACAACATCCGGCTCTTTACACTTTTTTGCACTTCAAAAGCTGAGATTATTTTACCTTTTTCAGGGTCACAAAGCCATAGGCAAACTTGGGAGTTTCTGGTGGCATGGGGCCAGAGGGAATATCTCTAAACTGTAGAGACAACAGCGATGCGTTAATCATATCTTCAACATATGAACAAGTGTAATCAGGACCGCAGTTAAATCGATGCTACCTGCTTGATGACGTCTCTGATGGCCAACAGCTTCTCTGTGGGGTCTCCTGCCTCAGACAGCGGGGCGTCGTAATCATAACTAGTCACTACTGAGCGGAACCTGGTGTCATGATCGGCACCTTCGGGGGAGTTACAAAGGATCACAAGCTGAGCCTTTATCTTTATCTAAATCGTGTGAACAACTGAGGTACTGATTATGAAACCAATGACTTTACCATTCCAGTAGCCAAAGTTAGTGCCTCCTTCAAACATGTACCTGAGAGGAGAGAGAGAGAGAGAGAGAGAGAGAGAGAGAAAGAGAGAGAAGGAATGTGTTACTCAGTGTGGGAAACTTACCGTTCATCACACAGAAAGGTGCAGGAGCAGTTTCATCTCAAACTGTCAGTTGATGCATCCTAAAGAAAAGGCTGGCAATATTCTATATTTTTGCACGTTTGCGAGTGTTTAGGGAGACATACATGTTGACGTTGGCCCTCATGATTAGCATTTCTTGTAGCACTCTGCTGACCTTCTGAGCATCAACCACAGCATGCTGATCTCCCCAGTGGTCCAACCAGCCAGTGTAGAACTCTGAGTTCACCTGTAACATCATTTAAAACATGTTACCATCATATGCTTGGTTTGAGGAGTCAGTAATAACTGCATCTTAAGATAAGTGAATTAATATACAACTAACCAGGGGACCTCGAGGTTCAAACCGCCTTTGCCGGCTGAAGGCTTTAGTTATGTTGGTGTCTGTATGAGGGGATAAATTGTAGAAATTGCAACTTTCCGTATGAATAACATTAAGTACAGGGTGCTTGCTATCTTGTTAATAATTTTCATCAAATACCAACCTGTGCCAAAGTCCACTGTGGCATATAATCCCTCCAGAGTCCCGCATTTCATTTCCTTGTCTGTGTTTCCATCAGTGGTGAACAGGACTGTGTCTTCCCCCAGAAAGAAGCGAAACAGAGTCCGCAGGTGACGCATGTAGTTGTAGTCACAAGCAAAGTAACTTCCATATTCATTCTCCACCTGTGGCCAAAGAAGATGCGTAATTAAAACCAATATTATAATACTAATTCATACAAAACGTAACCACTTCATGCTCTACCTGGACGGTGATGATGTTGCCCCCGTTGATATACAGCCACGGCTTCATTTTGGGCAGAAGAACAGCAAGCCAGTTGCTGACTTCCTGGACATAATCTGGAGCAGAGGAAAACAAATCGATGGCATATTAGAATAAAAAAACAAAGACACATACAGTAGGTGCAGTAGTCATACCTGTGTCAGCTGAGCGAAGTATGATGTTTGGTTTCTGAAGTAGCCACGCTGGCAATCCGCCCTGGGTAGAAAGACCAAACATCACTGAAAGAATGCAGCAAATAAAGCATACTCTTTTCTCAGTTTCCACATTGTCAGTCTTGGTTTAAGACACTTTTTTCTGATCATTTATCACATGTTTCAGGCTTTGATGTTACAAACTCCTTTTGTTACTACAAATTGTTCAAAAGCTCAATGTCTCACCATTTCCCACTCTGCACAGATGTACGGTCCGGGACGCAGAATGACCAGAAGACCTGTCTGATTGGCCAGATCCAAAAAATGCTCCAGATCTCGGTCCCCTTTGAAGTTTTGGACCCCCTGCACCGCTTCATGGAAGTTCCAAGGCACATATCTGTGTGGAAGCAGAACACATGTCCTGTAAAGAAAGAGCATACCTAAAGCGAAATATGCAATGTGTTATACTTACACTTGGATAGCATTGAGTCCAGTCATGTACATCTTTACGAGACGGTCCTTCCAGTAGTACTGTGGGATTCTGGAGTAGTGAATACTGCCTGAGATGTACTGAAAAGGCTTCCCATCTTTGAGGAAACAGTTGTTTTTGTAGTCTATCAAGAATGATCTTTCTCCAGAGACCTGCAAGAGATGGCATGGTATATAAGGTGTATCTTAAAAAAGCTGGAAGTTTGTATTGACACTGTAATCTCTATTAGATACAATCAGTGGTGGAATGTAACTGAGGCACTTGTAGTTCACGTAGTATGACTGTAGTAGTTCCATTTTATTGTATTATATACTTCTACTCAACTACATTTTCGAGGTAAATATTTTAGTTTTGACCCCACATTTATTTTGAAGCTTTAGTCATAACCAACTTTCCAGATTTAGATTATTAATAGAAAATATAAAATCAACTAATAAATCATGATATATTATTGTAGGTTAAGTTACACAGCTGAAAATACATTATTTTCTTACTCGAGTAAGAGTTGCAGGAATTTTACTTGTACACTCTGGTATTGCT